CTTATTTGCAATAACTAGTATATGTCTGAGACAAGCAGAAACGGTAAGATAAGTTGATGTTAGGCAAAATGAACCCCAAGATAAGGACTCAAATGGTTTTTCTTTCTTGCTATTGTTTCTAACATATTTATAAGATGATTTCTTTGTTGCTTTGTATGTCCCTCCTCCATGGTATAACCCCTGCTTTTACTGTATTTGATGTTGATATAATTTGTGGCGGGGAAGAGAAAAAAAATCATTTAAATAGGGATACAGGTGGACCCATTGCAACAATGAGATGTACAAGACATTATGTAGAACTTTACAATTTGGGGAGGGCTGGGGAGATGGGAAGGGATGGTAAGGGGAAACAAAAGAGGAGGCAACAATGCTTGATACGAAATGTACTCATTACCTTGCTCATGTAATTGTAACCCCTTTGTATGGTATTTTCACAATTAAAAAAAAAGACCATAAACAATAAAGATAAAAAAATTGTCCTGACCAGGCACTGGTGGCTCACACTTGTATTCTTAGCTACTCAAGAGGCTGAGATCCTGATCATCACGGTTTGAAGCCAGCCCAGGCAAGCAATTCTTTGTCTCCAATGAAGCTGTGGCTCAAAGTGGTGTAGTGCTAGCCTTGAGCAAAAAAAAAAAAGAAAAGAAAAGCTGAAGGATAGAGCCTAGGCCCTGAGTTCAGGCCCCACACCTAACAAAAATAAAATGGCCCTTTGATCATAAAAGTGTTTGGTAATAACACAGTTGTTAATCTATGGTTTTATTATCAGATCTCTTAAAATTCGTTTTGTAAAATTAGTTGTTCTGACTGAAGTTTTAGTTTTCTAATAAAGTATTGTTTAAGCTTAATGGCTATAATTAAATTAGAAATTTGGAGAAAATATGTAATGAAAAGGTCATGGTATAAACAGATTAAAGGTTATTTAGCTTTTGCTTGTTGGGTGTTGGGAATTGGGACCCCAAGGCCTTGAAAGATGCTATGCAAGTTCTCTGTAATTGAGTTAACAGTTACAGCACCTAACTAAAGTTTTTTAAAGGATAGAAGTTTCTTTTACTTTGAGTTAGGACTTTGGTAGAAGGTTGTTCTGTTTCATCTTTTAATCTCGTAAGTTAATCATCTTCTTTAATTGTCATCCAGCACAATGAAACGTAAGGTCCTAAGGTTATCTTTGAATTCTTGTGTTAACTGGTTAATACAGGGCTTGATGGAAAAAGGAGAAAAGTGTGTTTCGTACTGGATGAAAGATGGGTTTAAATGTTGGCTCAGAGGGCTGTTTGACAGACATTTGTATAATTAAAAACATTTAAAAACTAGACATTACTTCCTTAAAGATTCCCAAGGCTGTCCTCTTGTTTGTAGCTGCTCATATTATAAATAGGAAGGTAAAGGGGGCTTTGGAAGAACCAGTGGCCTCTTGTTTCTGCATTCTTTCAATGGAGGAAGGCTCCTGAACATTTCAAAGCCTATGAAAAAAAATTAAGTTGATTGGATTGGCTACATTACTTAAACATTCTGGTTTTGTTTTGGTAAAGATATTGCCTGAATATCATTTATTGAAAATTATAAAAAAATTATCAAAAATAAGTTGCTTATATAAAGTTGGAAAGTTGTAATTTTTTGAATTATGAAAGGTACTGTTTTTTTGGTGGTATTGAGATTTCAACTTAGGGTTTTGTGCTTAATAAGGAGGCTCTCTATTACTTGAACCACGCTTAAAACCTCTCCTTTAGCCTCAATTCTGACTTCCTTCCTTCCTTCCTTCCTTCCTTCCTTCCTTCCTTCCTTCCTTCCTTCCTTCCTTCCTTCCTTCCTCCCTTCCTCCCTTCCTGTCTCCCTCCCTG